CTCTTGGGAATGTCAGCTGCCACAATCTCTTTGGAAAGCATGGAAAGTATGGAAGTTGGAATGTAAAGGGAAGGTGAGGAAGAACTTCTGGTGGCTGGGACATGAGAATCTCCGAAGGGGAGGGTGGGAACTGGGGTGCAGAGGTGGGTCTCTCTATTCCTCAAACATGTCCTCAATCCCAAGTCAGAAGTGGCCTACCCTCAGAAACATAAGAAGGCTTTTCTTCCCTAAAGAAAAGAAACCCCCTTTCCCACACACTCTTCTCCTCTTGCTGGGGACACTGGGGAGAGTGTGATGCCCAAAGCAGTGGAAGCATCTTGTGTTCACAAGGTGACAAGCGAGAGGACCGAGGCCATCACACTAAGGTAGCAAGTGTGGAGAGGTGGGCAGTGGCCGGGTCCTCGGTTGACAATGTTAGATAATTAAATCTGCATTGCTTAAACAACTATTTAGTGAGCTCTTCTGTAGCCAAAGCTTTCCTGATAGCACGGTTTGCTAATAAAGTTAAAGAAAAGCTGAAAATCCAGGAATTTCACTCCTAGATATTATAGACCTTAAATAATCCTCACATATGTGTCCAGACGTGCACTTGTACCATGGTCTGCAATAATAAAAAAGCACTGAACCATCTAGATATTCATCAGTTGTAAATCTAGATAAACAACTTGAGGGTTAGTCATAGAAAAGAATAGTCGACAGAAATTTAAATAAACTGGAGTTACATGAATCAACAGACCAAATCTTAAAAGAGTGGTAAACAAAATGTATAGGCTACAAAATGATTCACACAGCATGTTACATTTAGAGAGAATTTCAGAACATGGAAAACAATATATGTTATTTACAGATGAATTAACATGTAATACAAAAGTAAACCATGCATGGGATGGTTAAACATCAAATTCATTGTAGTATTTGTCTCTGGGCAGAAAGAAAAAGAAATAGTCTAGCTGTCTTCAATTCCGTCCACAAATGCTAATTATTACAGATAACAACAAGAATTGTCTAAGACTTCTCTAGAGGCACAAAAGCTGTAACATTTTATTATAAGAAGCATCAGGTCTTCCTCAGCTTATTCCAATCATCATATTTCAAAGATTATAGTATTTGAATTCCAAACTTTTGAGGCCTATCATTAGTAAGAAACAGCAGACAGAATAATCTCAGTGTATTAGAGACTCCCAAGGTAATTTCTGTTGGCACAGAACAATTCGGTGAGCTCTAAGTTTCTTTTCAACGCAGGTCGCTGTTCTTCTCAAGTGCACCCACCCACATAGCCCTGGATTCCCTGGGCATTAAAGTATTGTTTCTAAAATTTTTTTATTCTTATAATCCTTTATTTTCAAAGACAAGTTGAAAAATTGTAACATCATCATCATATTCTCAGAAAGACCCTGTATTTCAAAATCACAAACTTTTCTGAGTTAGGATACTAAGGCAAATAAAAAGCTATGAGGGAATTCAAGTTTATTGAAAAAGAAAGAGATGGGAGAAAGCACTGTCTGTACTAGGGAACCAAGATGGTCTTCATTCTACATCAAAAGCCAGATAAATATGATATAATTAATATTTCACTCTTTATGGCAGATTTTTCCAGTGTCTTAAAAATAATACTTCTTGCACAGACATGACAATGAAAACTGCAAAATCTTTTTAGACATTTCTGTGCTAAAAGAATTGTGTAGAAGCAGTTGATGCTGGAAGGGCACAACGGAATTCTATGTCCCATGGCAAGCAAACAAGAAGGGCCGAGGGATTTTGGATGAATGAGAACTGGTCAATGGGAATGCCCCGACTGTGAGTCCAGCAAGCCCAGGATCAAAGACACAAAGACTCATGCCAAACTGGTGGGAAGGGGCTGCTGGGCAGGTGACCTTGACCACTCCAGAGGTCCCAGAACTGAGCAGCTCTGCGCTGCCTCCTTGGAGCAAGTGACTGCAGGTGCCCAGCATTCCCCCGCCAGTTAGGATTCCTTAATAGAAGTACTAATTCCAATAAAATGACTATATTCTGAGTTGAAAGCACCATAAGCCTCCAGAGTTTGGACCGGAAAAACCCATCCCTTGAATCAAGAGGGTGGGAACAGGAGGGTGGTACCATATTTCAGCCCAACCATGGCACCCATTATAAGCTTCTGCTGTGAGGGCTGACTGTCCAGGGTGGGCCGATAAGGTGATACCAGAGCATCCACAAGCGTGGCCCAGGTGTCTACTCACACCAGAGAACTGGAATGTGGGCACAAAACAGGGCTGAAGAAAAGGTGTGCTGAGACAAGAGAATACAGTGAATAAGGAAGGCTCGGACTCCCTAGAAAGAGAGAATCTACAGAGGAAAACAAAAGGTGAAGTTAGGATGAAGAGAGAAAATCACAATAAAGAAGGCCAAAGGTCAAAGTGCAGGAGAAGACAATAATAACTATAATGCACAGAAACCAAAGAAGAAGCAAGTTCTGGTGGGCAGCATTAGGTGTCAAAACTACCCCTGCTTCTTGTCCAGCAGGGCTCTGATCACCCTCGCATCCACAGTGGTGAACGCAGGGTCTTGGCCTTGGCCTCAGGCTCCAAAGCCCTTCTGGCCCCACCAGCTAGAGATCCTGGCCTCTTTCCTCCTTCTTGTCTGTAGCTCAACCCTGCCCCCACCACCCCCACCCTGCTGTGCAGGACTGCTGGCAGGAGACTCCCTCCCGTTTCTCTGTACTGCACTTTGGGTGCAGACTTACCCTGCTGCGTGTGTGGTCCCTGGTGAATCTGAGCTCCCTGTTATTTCCCACTTACCACTCAGTGTTCCCACTTCTGTTCCCACAATCTGACTTCCTGACCCTTGACCTTTGGTATTCTCTGTAAAGGCCAGCCTTTGGCCCTCTTCCCATTTGGGAAAAAGCTTCCTGGCAGATGCTTTGGGGTTCTACTTGCCCTGTAGAATAGGGCAGTCATCGGCAGTCACAGAAAGCAGAAATGTCAAAGAGAAAGAGCGGGATGGAGACAACATCCTGGGCGTGTCTGAGCAGTCTGGTTCGGTAACACGAACTGGAGAGTCCGGAAGATAGGGAGGGTCAGGAAAAGAGGAAAGTAAACAGGAAAAACAAAAGAATCCCTCTGCAAAACAAGCAGGGTAAGGCAGTTTTGTGACCCACTTCGAGCTGTCTTCCTTTCCCTCCTGTCCCAGAGGGAACCGCTCCGAATGAGGGCAGAGGACACTTTCAGGGGAAGGCAATCGGACCTGGGGCCTTGGGGGACCTGCGCGGTGCGAAGAAAGCATTTCCTTACAGCAGCTTGTGATAAGGACGTGCTTTCAGCTGTTGTCTGCTTGTGCTCCTTCAAAGGAAAGTTCTAGTTGTCCTGCTGAGTTCTAAGTTTTCAAAACCCCATCTGTCTGTTTTTGCCCTTTGTAAACAGAGAAGGGCAGAAAGGGAAGCTGAGTGTCCAGGTCGCAGTCGCTGTTCCAGGACTATCTTTTCCAATCCCGTGTGGCAGTCAACTTGCGTTCTCAACATCCTCCTCCTGGCCTTTAAATCTCAGTCTGAAACAAAAGTTACTGTACTGCAGCTTTAGAAGTTCCTCAGAGAATAAAACTCTAAAGTTCTAATCTCAAGGAAAAAAATACAGTAACTATGTGTGATGAGGGATGTTAACTAGATTTACTGTGCTGACCATTTCACAATACGCAGATGCCCCTTGATTTACCATAAGGTTATGTCCCAGTAAACCCATTATAAATTGAATATCCTGCTGAAAATGCATTTATATACAACTGACCTAGCAAACATCATAGCTTAGCCTAGCCTAGCCTACCTGAAATATGCTCCAGAGCACTATACAGGGTCCAGCAGAAATAACACCCTTGAATGTGGTTGGCAGGGTACGGGAATGAACAGCAATTTAAACATTTCACCGAAAATGTCATATCATGTGCTTGAGTACAATATTGTTATGCTACAGAATTGCAGGCTTATGATTCTGTAGTAAAAGATTTGGTGTAGATTACCAGCACATAAAGAGGGGCACTATCTGCGGCAGACCCTGTCTTACTAGCCTGCAGTAGGCAGATCATCGAGCACAATGAACACGCTGTAGTGTTGGTTGTTTCCCATCCTAACACTGCCCCTGCCCAGCACCGCCAGAGAGAAACATCCCTCATACTGTTTTCCTGGGAAAAAAATCAAAAATCAAAATTCAAAGTACAGTTTCTACAGAGTAGGTACTGCCTTCACACCATCGTGAGTCAGGGGCTGTCTGCACGCATATATCCCCCCATTATGTTGTACGCCTGAAACTAATACACTGGTACGTGTCGATTATATTTCAATTTAATTTTTTCAGGAAAGAAAAGCAGTTTTTAAAAAAACAGATAAATTAGCATGGATTGTTCACATTTCCCAAAGTAGTTGCTCATTTTAAAATATACCATTACCATAGGGTCTTGTTCAAACTTACTGAACAGAGATATTTCAGTTGACTAGCTCCCTGACTGAGAGGAATGTGCATTTTCAGGGGATTATAACCATTATTTTCTACTAACCATCCATGGATAAAAATTAACATTTGAGAATAAAAATTAAGTTTACATATAGTTATAGACTTTTTCCCCTCAGGCCAAATTTGGCATCACATTTTGATTTGGAGAGAAGCTTGTGTCATAACTTTAAGTTTGCCAGAACTTCACGGAGTGTAAAGAAACATTCCTAGCTATTAAAGCTGCTTTTCCCCCGAGAAAAAAAAGCAACGCCCAAGAGCCTCAAGGATCCCACACAACACTTGTAAACCTGTGATCACGTGGTGTCTGTTCTTTCATCTGGACTCCCAACATCTGCTGGTTGGCCCGTGCTGTTAGTGCCAGATAGCACATGAGCAAACTGTACAGTTCACATTATTTTTATCCCTTCAATAACTGAACCTCGATTATCTAATTTGTGTCAGTGCTGGTTAAGAGACCACAGAGAGAGAGGCAGGGAGAGGCAGGCAAAGATCTATCAGACCCTGAGCCTCCCTGGGAGTCAAAGGTCAGGGGGAGTGATAAACTGCCACTGAGCGGCTCTTGCTGCCGATTCCAGGTTCCTTTGGTATTTCAAGTGGCCTCAGGGGATGGGAGCAGCTCACAAGCTGCGTGTGTAAGCAGAAGAACAAGGGCTTGAGGGTCCTCTCAGAACTAGGGCTGACTCTCTGCTCACTCTCATAAGAGCTGCAGCCTGTGCCAGTCAAGGAACGATTCAAAACTCCAGTTTTCTCCTCTGTACCTATCAGTAAAAATCTGTATCTTACCCGATTTGGTATGAATCAAACCAGTGCAGTTTAATTTAGTGAGGCCCCTGGAGTCAGATTCCCTGAGGGTTCAAATTCTGGCCCTACCCCTTATTTGCCTTGTGAATCTCGGTAAATTGCTTAAAGTCTTCGAGGCTCTATTTCCTCAATATACATGACATTCATAAAAATGACTCTTACCTTACGAGCCGAGCAGATGAGGTCATCCACAGAAGGAGGGCGGCACGGTGCCTGGCACAGAGTAAGTGTTCCAAGGCAGGGCCGCTCGCACTATCAAAGTACAAGTTTCCTGTTCTCTTACCCAGGTTGCAGGTTAACAGCAGACAGTTGTGCCCAAAGGCAGAGCTTTTCTTTACAAAGCATTTCTTTCTCTCTGTTTTTCTTTTTTCTTTTCAGAAATGTTCTGGTACACATTAGCAAAAGGCCTGGGGGAAGGGTGCCTAGAAAGCCTTTAAGTGTCCCTACTTCCTTCACAATGGGATCCATGTGCTTTCAGAAGGAGCAGAATCCTGGAACCGGGCCAGTTAGAGTAGGAGCCTCGGACGGGAAATAAAGCTCCAAAGAGACTTCATGGATCCAAATTAAAGATAAATCATTATTACCATTAATATCTGTGTTAATGTTTCTCTATGTATGCTTTTTTAAAAGAATAAATTGTGGTTAGTTTAGAGATTACATTTTAAGAGGTGTTAGAAAAACAAAGTTCAACTTTGTAAATTAGAAGATCTAATTGGCTTTATCTAATGATTCATGAATTGGGCAGCGTTCCATCTAGCAGATAGAAAGGAGCTCCAAAAGCTTTACATTTTATATTATGTTTTATATTTTAAAAGCAAATTAATCCTCCTAGAAAAGCATAAATATTGTTGAAGTTCTGATGCTTGAATGATATTGGTGAAATCATCTCATCAAGCTAAAATGGATTATTTTCTCTCTTTCAGAGGAGGTTGGCTAGAGTAAAGATGAGAAAGATGTCTTCACATACCTTTGTCTGACTGCAGGAAGAACCGTGCCGGGGGAGCTGTGCCTTTCTTCTCTGTTTCCATCTTTGAGTCTTTTCCTCGGCCGCCTTTCCTCTCCTATAACAGCGCAGGTGTGCACAGTGCTATAATAATTGCACTTTGTGCACATCCAGCATTCTTTTCTTCCCATTTGTTCCTTGACACAATCCTTTGAGGTAAAGGGTAGTTAAGGCAAATGTTATTATTGCCATTTTTCAGATTTAAAAATGAGATACAGAAAGGATAGTGACACATGCCTAGGTACAGGAATAGCTGGTCCTAAAACCCACGTCTTGGGACTGGGCCAGTGCTGGCTCCTCGGCTGCTGCCAGGATTCTGGGCATCATGGAGAAAACAGGGGCACAGAACCACCAGACATAAGGCTCCAGTGACTTTGACTACAGGCAGGCGTGATGCTCAGAACAACTCACCATTCGGTTCTGAAGATGCTCCTGGGAACTCCCATCCTGGCTGTTGAGTAACGTCCATCCTTCCACCCATCCAAAATGGAGGGGGTTTGGGGGGTATTTAGTGGGGGGAAGCCAACAGGCACGGTGCCCCCTGGATCTGGAGACTAGGACGCTGAGCTCCTCTTAAAGTAAAAATTGCAACTGATTTCAGCCATTTTTATTCCACATAGCAGGGGAGATATTACAATAAAATTATTTCTCAAAAGATAAATTCAGCTGTCATTTTGTATTATTATCCAGTTAATTCTAGCTACACAGACACTGGATTTGGGTAACTTAAAAAGCATGTTTCTATTTCCCTTCTCTCTCAAAAGATAAATTTATTTATGTAGAAATGCAAAAGGTTAACAAAATCACCTGATATTGTGATTATTTGATATCTGTCATGCTGAATTGTCATAACTTAAGAACTCTTCATTGGCTTCCTAAATCAAATTTCTATTTCCTCTTTTTATTATATTAAAAAATACAGCCCTGGCTGGCATAGCTCAGTAGATTGAACTAGGGCTGCGAACCAAAGTGTCGCAAGTTCGATTCCCAGTCAGGGTACATGCCTGGGTTGCAGGCCATGACCCCCAGCAACCACACATTGATGTTTCTCTCTCTCTCTCTTTCTCCCTCCCTTCCCTCTCTAAAAATGATAAATAAAATCTTTAAAAATAATACATATATATCTCCGTCTGAGAAGCCTGAAATTTTCAAGGTGCACCAAAAAGTGTCTAGCTTTTATTCTCCATCACTGTTTGCAATTACCCAAAGAAGAAAAGTTTTGTGAGAAAAATTCCACCCAGAACACACTTGGGTCACAATTCACATTCTTTTTCTTAAGATGCTCAACGGTGGCAAGCAGAAGTGAGTTCAATTTCCTCTTTGTGGCGCCCTCTGGTGGCAGTGAAGAGTCACAGACTCTGTCTGGACCCGGAAGGCCACTGCTCCTTGAGGCTTATTTTAACAATGGTCATCACTAAAGTTTCCATTCAACAATGAAAATGTGTCCAGCTCAGGAAAGCAGGAGGAAGTGGAAGGAATGTGCAATCACAAGACTTAGACTTGAGTCATAGCTCTGTCATTTACAACCTATTTGAACCTGTGTCTGGCTGATCCCCGTTTCTGCAGAGCTGAGGTTGAATCTGGAATTTTTCATCAGAAATAAGAGGCCATGTAAAACTGGAGGGGCATATGACAACATTTATTTGTTGTGCCCGGAAAATGCAACTCTATAGAGACAGAAAGTAGGTTAGTGGTTGCCTGGGGCTAGGGATGAGAATGGGGTTAACTGTAAATAGACATAAAGGATCTTATTGGGGCAATAAAAACATTCTAAAACTGGATTGTGGCGGTTGTTACATGACTCGGTAAATTTACTAAAAATCATTGCAATGTACATTATAAATGGATGAATTTTGAAGTATGCAAATTATACCTCAATAGTGTTTTAAAAAACAGCTGGAGGATGAAGCAGAGTAGATAACCCCTGTAAATCCACACACATAACTAGGAAGCCTGTCTCTTGTAACTAAGCGGGAAGAAAAGGGAATGTGGGGTGGGGAAGGGGGTGAGCAGCAAAAATGCCTAGGACTGGTGCTGCTGTTTTTTATATTGTCAGTAGCTGGTGCTCAGGGGAGTCCCCCGGAGTTAGCAAACTGAAAGGACGCACCCTCCCGGCTCAGCCTCCTATTTCAGGTAAAGTCACAGCGTCCCTGGACCCAAGGCAGAAAGTTCTGACCACTCAGGGATATTACCAAAGGAGGAAAGACTATTAAAACCAACTTGATGCCCTTGCATCAAAATGATCATTTTGAAATGTAAAACTGTAGTTTCTTTGTAACATCTCTCAGTAAGTGGTAATTTAATGTGGCTGGAGAATTAGATGAGATTTAAGGAGTGAACTGGAGAGAATGTCTTTTCTCCCCACATTACTTATTAATAGAAAACTTGAAAATGTGAGGATTTATAAAAGTTCAGGAGAATATTTCTGTAGAGTTGGGTAGAGAGAAATATGTTAAGAATAAAATTCAAAACAGAAACTCTAAAAGAGATGATAAATGTATTTGGTTAGGAGAGGAAGGAAGGAAGGGAGGAAGGGGAGGGGAGGGAGGGAGAGAAAGGAAAGGGAGAAAGAGAGTAATAAAGAAAGGAAGAAAAAGAGAAGCAAAGAAACAAAGAAGAAAGAAAAAAAGGAAAGAGAGAAAATGAGGCACGGGTGATTATATTATACATACCAAATAGATTTACTATTCTGAATATAACAGACACTTAGAAACCATAGAAAAATGGGCCAAAAAATGGGTACAAATAATTCATAAAATAAAAATAAATGAAGCAATATAATTTATCAACATATGAAATAACATTTAACCTGGTTACTAATTGATAAATGTTATTAGGAAAACAATGAGCTATCTTTCACCAAAGAAGGTAGCAAAGACTAGAAAGATCACACTGATCATTCTTGTGCCCAGGTGAGTTGGTACAGCTTTTGGGGGTAATCTGGTGCTCTGCTTCAAAGCACAATAAATATGCACACCTTCTGGCCCAGCAATTTCATTTTGGGGAACAACTTTAATTGGTAACAATTAGACATAGGTGAAAAGATATCCACATTAGAGTGTTCATGACTGACTTATTTGTAAAGGCAAAAAAAAAAAAAAAATCCAGAAAGGTTCTTAAATGCTCACCAACAGGGATTAGATAAATACTGTACAATCTATTCAATAGAGTATCTGCAGTAATTAAAAATAAATATGATTTATATTTTGCTGCATGGGGGAAATGTTTACATTATTTTGCTAAGTAAAAAATGTCAGTGTCACAAGAGCATAAGTGATATGATTACATTTTGTTTAAAGTTATATGGTGTGTGTGTGCGCATGTGTGATATGGAACTGGAAACGCACTGCACAGATCTCCTTCCAAAATCAGAGTTGTTGCTGAGCTGTGAGCCCTGCAGGAACCTGCCTCTGCTGCAGCGCTGCCTCTACCAGCGTTCTCCTCTCCCAAGGGGCGGTGGGCACGCCCTGAACGAGGCTAGTCATTTCTGCGGGACAGAGAACAACAACAACTCGGATGGGCTGCTACCACTCCAGAGCTCCCTGCGGGTCAGCGAGGCTGTCACTGGGCCTATCCTATATCACGGCCCGATTTCTCTCTACCCAGTTCCGCTTTCTTCCCCTTCCTTCCACAGGTGCTGACCTCAAGGACAGTTCTTAAGAAATGTCCAGCACAATAAACTCCATGTTAAAATTTGAGTCTCAGAAAAACCAACCAGCAATTTTTATAACCTATCCTGTGGTCAAATTCTAGAAAAAATACGCACATGTGTTCTGTGTTAAATGGGCTTTGTTATCATTTTGGACATAGAGCATTTAAAATGGGTATTTATTATTTTTTGTCATCAGCTAAAATAATAAAGTGGTTTTCATTTTGGAAAATAAAAAACATAAATGATTTCGTTTTATTCTGGTCAAAATGACCACATCAAGCCTCCATATCACAATGGCAGCGCCCGCGCCAGGTGGTGCGCACTCTCCTGAGCGGAGAGGTGGACGATTCCAAACACCCTTCCTACTGCTTTTGGTCTGGGTAGTCACAGCTTTCCTCTCCGTCACCCCGGAGGAAAACGCTCTTGTTTTCTCTCAGCATTCCACACACTTCACCCCATCCCAATCAAAAGGCATACCATTTTTCAGATCAGATCCATCCACGTAAGCGACGCCACTGAAACGGCAGGTTTGTGTCATCAAAGGCTGAGAGAGGGAAGCAGGGCCCGGAGGCTGAGTAAGCTGCAGGGTGCGAGAGGGGAGCCTGGGGAGAAGGAAAAATGTTTTAGCAAATGAGACTGGAGACGATGAACTATTTCCTTCTTAATGTCCCTGGAGAGATGCAAGTACGGATCAGAACTAATTTCCATTTGATTGCTGTTCTGTGTCCTCTGACAGTGACACCACTGAAGAGGACTGGGCTGAGGACAGCAGTTTTCTCCTACAAGAGTAGCAGCTCAAGCTCCACTAGGTTTTAACCCACCTCTTCACAAAGGGCTTCAGCTCTTCCCTACTCGTCATTTTCCAATGTGGTCTCCCTTGTCACCATACATGCTAACCCCCGCTGTGGCAGTGCTGCTCATGAAGTCACAGGAAGGCAACTCCCATCCTCCACGATGGCCACGGGGGTCCCAGTCTCTGGGCCAATGTCTCTGCACGCAGCCTGGTCTTCCTGTGCCCCGAACACCTTCTGTCCTGGTCCCCTGCTCTCTGGGACTGACCAAGGAACTGGTATCTGAGATGCAAGTCCATGTCATCTTAACTTTTCTATCAGATGTATATGTAAAAATTAAAAATAAAAAGTTCTTCTTTTGCCCTGACCCGTGTGGCTCAGTTGGTGGTTGTCAGCTTGCAAAGCAGAAGGTTGTCTGTTCGATTCCCAGTCAGGACACATGCCTGGGTTGTGGCACCAGTCCCCAGTCGGGTTGTGTCTGAGAGGCAACGGATAGATCTTCCTCTCCCTCTCTTTCTCCCTCCCTACCCCTCTCTCTAAAAAAAAAAAACTTTTCTTTTACAGTTGAAAAATGATCATGCAATTCAAACTCTTCTGGCCCTATGCCCTAACTCAAAACACAAGTCTGAATCAAGCTGACTCAAGCTGGGGCCTGGCCTTAGCATAGTTACACTAACCTGCAGCACTAAGAACTAAGCGTGAGATCCTTGTCGGCTTTTGAGTCACAGACTAAACACCCGGAGGTCAGCACCCCTGAGCTGCATGTGGCTGTGGCTCAGGCCGCAGACACAGCTGCCAATGGCTGCCTGGACTTTGGCACCTGGGAGAGGGTTGACAAACCCACTTCTGTAGTGCCTTGGTCTGATGGATTCACAGTAGGAAGACAAAGCTAAAGTTGGTTTCTGAGTTTTATTAAGCATTATTTGGTTGTGCAAATGGGCCAGAAACCTACAGCCAGATTATTACATTTTAAATATTCAGGAAATTAAGTTTAATATATGCAAGACCACTAACTTACAAAAGTGCATGGTGCGCTTGACATTGGGCAAATAGAACTTTGCTTCAGTTACTTAAGATACAGCCTCTCAAGGTGGATAAGGAAACAATCTGCTGTGATGTGCACAGCAGTGACATTTGCGTAAGGCGGGACCTTAGGGCAATCACCATATGGCTCGCCCTGCTGATGAGTGAGTTCCCTGCTAGACTGTGTGAAGAGGCACAGGTGTTAGTGGCATTTCCGTTGTACCAAGGGAGAATTAAGAAGTATTTACCGAATGGGTTTCTTGTCTATCCATATTTATTAGCAGAATTCCAGGGTATATAAGACCACAAAATCACCATTTATTTAGTATTCTGGGTGAAACATTCTGCTGAGTCCCCAAACTAAAACAGAGTATTTGCAATACCTGTCCCAATGCATGATCACCTTATGTAGGCACATAAAGCTTGTAGTGATTTCCTGCTCCCAGCTTGCAAAATCTAGGCAAAAAATGCAAAGTAAAACACACACACAATCAGTGATTTATGGGAATGGAGAAAGAGGCTAGGTTTCCCTCTAATTAAATGATATACTAACCTTTTAGATATTTGAAAGCTAATTTAAGCTCTGGAAAAAAGGTAAGACTCATCTATTAAGTGATCTATGGGATGCCCCAAGGTGACTGTAGATCCTTAATGTAATCACTGAAATGTCAGCATTTTTGGTCTCCCACTCTGCACTGATACAGAGGGTACCATTGTCTCAGGCATTCTCTATTCTCTCAGGCAGCTCTTGCTGGCAGATTCCACACGAACTCACAGAAGGCTGTTCTCCTTGCCTGGCAATGGGAAGGCTGGGGGCGGATACCTCCACTCTGCCCCTTAGTTAAGCTCACACAGCTCCAGCCCCTGGGAGGGGAATGGACTCGAGAGGACTGGCCTCAACAGGTGAGGGGATCTCAGGCTCAGCCAGGTCCCTGCCAGGACTGGAGCCTGCTGACCCACACCTCTGCCCTGACACCAGGCAGAAGCAGGGCTCCCAAGCATCGCAGTTTCACTGGGCCAGCTAAGCCCCTGTGTCTGTGCTGACACCCAGATTTGAGAAGCTCCTCTTGGATGACACTGAGAGATGACAAGGAAACTGAGTTCTGGGCAAATGGAAAGCATTTGCATGGAACGAAAGAAAACATTATATCTGTTTGTGTATGTGTGTGTACCTGCATGTGTGTGTGTCAGGTGTCCTGAGGGTGGAGGTGGGAGTTTTAAGGAGGTAGTAAGGAAGCAAATTAAGGAAGTTTAAAGCCATTCTCAGCAGATTCCTGCTAGCTTCCAGGTTATCTTGACTCTTTTCCTGGCCACTTCCGAGTGAGCATCCGACCAGGGTAATGCCCACTCCGATGAGTGGGCATTACACATTGAATTATATTAATAGTTCAATCATGCAATGAGTGTCTGTATGTACCAAACACTCCTTAATACAGAATCTCTGTTTTTTTGCTACAGTTTTGAGAGTTTGGAATTATCCCTGACCTGAGGCTGAGAAGTGTTAAGAAACTTGTCTAATATTAGGGAGTCCAGTGATAGAGGCAGGATTCCTACTGTATTCACCAGGGAGCAAAGCTCGTGTGCTTCCCACCACAACCTCTAGCCCCCCCAGTTGTGTGACTGAAGTTTCAGAGAAAAACAAGACACGTTAGTGATGATGTTGGTGAGCCTACTTAACTCCCTCTCCTTGAACGGCTACCGCACCCCGTTTCCTTCTTTGCAGCCCTGTGTTATTTGACCCCTGTTATTGTGAATCCACAGTAATTCCTCAGTCCTTTCCCATTACATCTCCTGTTGAATGTAAAGATACTAATGGTGTTTTTTTTCACAGGTGATTAGAAATCGGCTGTGTGAGGAAATGGGCTAAGAGGGATTGAGTCATGCATGATCTAAGACAACAACGACAGGAAGTCTAAGTTGAACTGACCCTTGACAGCAGTGAGAAAGTAATCCATGACCTCATCCCCCAGTCCGTGGGGTTTCACATGCATCCACCGGAAACCTGAGTGGGGAGCTCACTGTCTCCAAGTCTTCTCCGTGGGGGCTCATTTGGGGGATGGCTGCCATCCAGCCCTGCATTTCCAGGAAATGAGGCTTCGATTCCTTGTAGTGTTAACTTTAAAGGAAAGGCACTTGGATGACTCTTGAAAGAAGAGCATTTGAAACAAAGCTGAATGAAAAGAGAGCAACATCCACAACTCACTTTCATTTTCAGTCGCTGGGCACCTGCCACCACATGTGCACTGGCTGTGAAATTCCTTGTGGATTGCAAGCAGGTGGCAGAACACCCAGTAACTGAACCACCAACCCATACATTTCCAAACTCCTCTATAGTCCCAGAATTCACTAAACTCCTCAGCAGTAAGGACGCCTGGGAGCACGGAAGATTTTGAAATAAATATGTATTTACAAACTCGTCCCCACTACCGGTTGCAGTCCTGCAGTGTTTTCCCAGCAGAATTTTTGTTCATAGCTGCCTTCAGGATAATGCCAAGTGTGAACACATTTTAAAATATATAAGGATTTAATAGCTTACTGTTTGTTTGAACTATCATCAGAGTTGAATCAGCAAAAATTATACAGTTAAGAAGCCATTTGGCGAGGAAGAGAAGCCAATAGTCCAGAGAATAGAAGAGGAATAGAGAGATGTTTTCAAATGGCACAGCATGAAAAAATTGGTACGTGGCCATAACTGGATGGATCCGAGACACTAAGGCTGATCAAGGAAGCCCAGCAAAGGGCAAGCGATCTTAAAATCTTCCTCTCCCCCTTTGGGTGTCTCTCTTTCCCCAGCTGATCCCACCCCGTTGAGGCTATGTAGGCCAGGCCTCCAGAACTCACCAATGAGGGAGGAATGATACAGAAAGCAATGACCGGATGGAAGCAGGCAGGGAGCAGGCCTGGCCCAGGAGGGTGCCTCCAAGGCAGGTTCCTGCAAGGAAACAGGAGAAAAACAAGAATGAGAGCAGCTCTGAGTCTGCTTGCCCACAGCCTCTGGGCACTTCTGCACAGTCAAACCAAGCACAGTTTGCAGCCCGGTCAGCCCAGCAGCTGCTGGCCAGTGTTTTGGGAGGATGTGAATCACCATCACCACAAGGCTCTTCTCCCTGACCAGCAAGCCGAGCCATACCATGGTTCACTGTCAGAACAGTGGATTCTTCCATTATCCAAAAACGTCTCGTGTGTGTGTGTGTGTGCACACGTGTGTACGCACTCACTTGTAGAAAGAATGTTAAAGTAAGAAATCCCCAGCCCAGTTCGATTCAGCCTTCAGCATTATTTTATTTTGGCAATGAAACAAGGTTCATTTATTGTTTATGTTTTTAATTTGGGGTGTTTTGTTTTTGATTTCCATGTGAAAAAATGTGACACAGCTTTTAAAGCAATAGTATCTGAAAGACGAGGCGTAGGATGTCATGAGTTGGTATTATGACACCAATATGACCTTATTTCTCTCCTGTGTACACACGTCAGCCTATATGTCTCTGGGCCTGGGCACGCTTTTCTCGGCCTTGGTCTCTGCATCCCTTCTCTTTCACACTGTCTCTTTTTATTTGTCTTCATTTGTGTATTTCTATCTGTCTCCTTGGCTTTTGCCTCTTTTTTACCCTTTCCTCTCCTTCCCACTAATTTATTCAAAGTGAGATTGAGTGCCAACCATTGTATATTGTCACCATGAATTGTAAAATTCCATCTCTCTTAACTCTGAATCGGGTATCTTCTTCATCTTTTTCATGCAAGTCTTACTTTCAATTGATCATATGTTCACAGGTGAGTGCCCCTGAGGAAGAAACAATGCTCTTGCCCATTTTCCTGACCCGAGACGGAGTTTCCCAGGGATATACAGCATGTTGGCCTGCGTTCGTCTCCACGGAGTGTTGATGCCTTTCAAGGCTAGTAAGAAAAAAGTTGGTAAAAGGAGATCCGGGTTTTCAGATGTAAACTCTCCGGGTTTTCAGAGAGAAATGAGATAATACTTTCTGTTGAAATAAAACAGTTAACTGATGGTCTGATTTTGAACTTTTGAAAACATGAACCACATGACTCTATGAAGCATGGGACAGGAGATGCAACCAGAACAACCTGGTCCAAGTTCGAAGTTTTTCAAATCTACAAGCAAGGCTTTTCAATCTCAATGTGACTCAGACCTGGGACTGGCATACTCCCTAGTTCACTTCTCTTAACCAGTCAGGAAACAGACCTTCTGAGGGCCTGGGGCCATGAGCACTCCCAGAATCCTCAACACGAGGAAGCCTGCAGTGCCAGCCCCTCGCCGCCTTGCAGGTAGTCAATATTAACTACATGTGGGTTAAGATTTGTTAGGGAAAAAATAAATACGCTTGAAATTATTTCTCCTCTAGAATATACTATCACACTTTCTAAGAATCTCTCAATTGCCTATAATTACTGGAAGGCTTCAGGTTTCAGACCAATAATTCCAGGGTTAGTGGGACACTCGGAAGACATGAGGGAAGACAAATTCATTATTAATGAAAATACTGCCCCCTCTACGGAAGCACAGTGCACTTAATGCCCAGCCAACCTCATCTTCCCATCAATAAATCCATGCTCGGTAATTGTTTGTGGCGTCCCTTGGTAGGCCCACTGGTGAGGATGACAGCTAATTAACAAAAACACTTTGGCCTTAATTAAGCTACCTTTTCCTGTCTATGATATGACTTCAGTATAAATGGAGACTATCCCTGCTTTATTTTCTTCCCATTACAGAACTGAATTCTAGATTAATTCTTTTAAAGACATGATCCAATTAAGCTTCCTTTATCTAGTAAAATGCACATACTTTGTATTTTAAGTGAGAAGAATTCTCTTAAAAATTAATTTCCCTTTTGCTTCCCCCTTCCTTTGCTCCATAACGGATATTCTATTGAGGGTATTAGTTCGCTAGGGCTGCTGCTGCAAAGGACCACAGACGTGGTGGCTTAAACAACAGGAATTTACTTTTTCACAGCTCTGGAGGCTGAAGATGGAGATGAAGGCACCAGCAGAGTTGGTTTCTTCTGAGGCCTCTCTCCTGGGCTTGTAGTTGGCTGTCTTTTCCTGTGTCTTCATACCACGTTCCCTCTGTAAGTGTCTGTGTCTGTGTTTTCTCTTCTAAGAACATCAGTCAGATCGGATTAGGGTACACCCCAACAGACTCATTTTAATGTAATCACCTCTTTAAAAACCCTTTCTCCAAATATAGTCACATTCTGAGGTACTAGAGGTTAGGACTTCAACAAATGAATTTTGAGAAGACAAAATTCAGCCCCTAGCCGTGAAGAAGAATTGACATTTCTAAGGAGAGACAGTAGAATATGTAGTTAAGGGCGCCACCTCTGGAACCAGACCATCTGGGTTCAGACCTCACCTTCTCCACCTGCCACTTATGTGACCTTGGGCTAATCACTGAAGTTCTCTGCCTTTTAGTTCCTCCACCTGTGACTATGCTATCCCAGGCTTTTATGAAAATTAAATAAATGTTTTATAAGCCCTGTAAAGGTAGTTCAGTTGGTTAGAGTGTTGTCCCGATATGCCAAGATTGCAGGTTCAATCCCCAGTCAGGGTGTACAGAACCCACTGGGTCCTGTTGCTCCAGGTTCTGTTGCCTGCCATTGATAAGAACCGTGACTCCCAATGCCAGAGTCATATGAAAAGGAAAGGAACTATGTATTCAACAGTTAAACAGGTTTAGAATAATGGCAGAATCCTGCCATTAAATCCTGCTCACTTTAGAAACAAAGAAACACCCACAAATGCACAGTCCTGCCCAACCCTTGCCAACCCAGGCCCGTCAGAGGTACCATCTCTCAGGAAAAGAAATAGAAGTCTGTAGCTAAGCTGGGCAGATTCCTGTCTGTACTCTGGTTTCTTCCAGTTGTCCGTGCTCAGCTAACTAGGTTCCTGCTCTTAATCCCAAAACACATCCTCATGGTGGGCTGGGGAGGATCCATCTTCACCCCTTCAGACCACGTGGCTAAAACCCACACGACTGCTACATCCTGCCTTTCTGTGTGGTCCAGAGTGCAATGGCTACCCAGCGCTTGAGTTTAAATCCCAGCAGAGATCTTCCTCTGTAACCCCGTTTCCAACTCCTCCAATACTAGGTTACACCTGCCAGCACACTGGTTTCTTCTGCCTTTCTTGGCTGCCATTGTTAGTGCAGGCAGGCCTCTCCCCATGATGCAAGAGAACTGCCTCCAAGCTGCTTGTGAAGGCACAGCAAGCCCCTCCAGCTACAACCCATCACTGGGTAGAGCCATGCCCATGTTCCTGGTTCCCAGTAGGCAAAGCCATTTAACCTTGGCTTCAGTGTTTAACTAAAACACGGGCCAAGTTCTTTAGGTATGCAAAGTAACTCTCCATGGCCCTGCTCTGCTTCCTTCATCTCCTCAAGTGACAGCTGTGGGGGCTCTATCCATTTTGGGGTGCACCTCTACCTCAGCAGCCTGTTACAAGGGCATATACAAGAATTAACCAACGAATGCAGAACTAAGTGGGACAAAAAATCAGTGTGTATGTTTCTCTCTCTCCATTCTTCTCAGTCTAAAACCAATACATTTAAAAAGTATTTTATACATAAAAGGTCCTCTATAAATATTTGCTGTCAATATTTTAAGCTTTTTCCTTAAAATGCTTACACATTTTCCTCACAGGGTAAATTAATACAGTGTCAATATACAAATAAATTTGGAAGAACACCTTGAGCTCCGGGGCATAGTAAATGCAATACTGTTTTAAAAATTTATGTTATACTTGCAATTTTCTACCGTACTCAGAATATCTAATGCCCCTTGCATTAGGGCATGAAATGAACTTGGTCATATGTGGTGGATTTCAGTCCAGACTACACCCTGTCACCCTCCTCACCTCAGTTCTACGTCTTCTCCCCCTTTTGAACCAAAAGCAGGTTTGAACGGTGTGCCTAGTTCTCCCTAAGCATAACTGGACCAAGACTGGGGCCTGCCTTTACTTTCACAATGAAACCCTAATTCTGGACCAGCAGTCTTTTTACTACTACACATACATTGGTAGCTAACTGCTTCTGGAGAAAATCACCCTACATGGGTGAGACCCACTAAAATACTCTGGTCCACACTGTCTCCCATTCTCCTAAGCAGCTCTTCTCAACTCTTAAGTCTGTGTTCATGCCCTATCTTCAAAGCACACCTCTGTGACAACTTGTTTATTCTTTCCTGGGGAACACAGTGGTTCTAGCAAAAGCAGACTGCTGAATTGCACACACGCCATGCTGATTCTCTCCTCTGGGCCTTTGCTCTTGCACAGGGAAGGACTACTTTTCCTCCAGGCCCCCTTGTCTTTGTCTGACTTACTTTTACTCTTCTTTTAAGACTTGACTCAGATACTGCATTCTTCTCTCCAAAGCCTTCTTAGATCCGCATCACCGCCTCACCTGTCAGGAGTGTACACCTCCCCAGTGCTCCCACCCCACCCCGAGCATGTCTCTAGCACTGTTTTGTGACATTGTTATACGAATGTCGGTTGATCTCTCCCAACAGAAAAAATCTCTTGTCAGAAGGCCCGTGGGTTCATCCCTGAATCTCACTTCAGCATGGCAGATGCCCCAAGCGTGTCCTATCCTGCCGCCAGAACACCGACTGTACTGAAATCACTTGTGTGCTGAGCTCCTGAGGGACAGAGATCAGTTTTAATTGTTCTTCTCTCTGTGTCCATCAGGGTTCTTAGCTATAAGGAACAAAATTTTTCTCTGTTTATTTAAGGACACAAGGATTTTGCTAAAAGTGATTGGAGTAGCTCACTGAACCAGTGGGCTTGAAAACAGGTGTGAAAAAGGGAAACAAAGCAGCCAGAGCCAGCTGGAAAACCACACCACCAAGCCAGGCTACTAGACATCCAGAATGTGCTGTCTTCCCACTGGCATTGCCAA